TGTTTTGTGCCTGAAAGGGTGTTGATTTGCTTTTCTTTTTCATGTTCCCTTTGTATTTTCAACATGTCTGTTATGACCTACTTATTACTCCATGCTCTAAAGGCCTTGCTTTGTTTGTAATTTCTGTTCTCCGCATTAAAAAAAAAACTCTTATTTTCCTTTTCTAATTAAAATTCAAAATAAAGATAACTGGGTCTAGCCCAGTTAAATGCCCTTCACTTGTGAATTATGTGGTCTCAGGTTTGAACCCCTATAGCATCTTGAAAGTGTGCAGAACATCCCTTCCCCCCATCTTGTATTAAAAAAAATTGAAAATAAAGAACCAGCCGAATAATGTTATCAAACATGTTCTTTACATATCTAATATATAGAGTTCAATCATCCTATTAGTGTTTTTGTTCTAAATAGTAGATATTATAGTAAATAAACTGTACAACATGACGGCACCTAATAAAAACCTGTCATCTACACAACAGAAAGATGTAAATTTTGTAAACATACAAATTCATTTGATTGAATGGTTGACGCAGCTCCCGCATTGTTGCTCTATAGACATTTCTTTTCCATTATACATACAACTATAGAGTTGAACAGGGAGTTTCTCAGAATGCCGTTCTTTGCTCCAGTAGTTCCAGCCGGTTGTCCAATTCCAGGACACTAAGTTTCATCCAGAAAAGCAGAAGTGTATATGCAAATCAACTGGACCGGCCTACCAGTTTGATGTGATAAAATCTGGTTAAATGGGCAGATTGTCAGCTCACACATCAACTGCAAAAGCAGCAATTGAACATGCAATGCAGTCCCAAAAATGCATTTATAGGCAAAACTGTGAATATGATATTGGAAGAGAATAATTTTCATTGATAGGTACAATTGGTTTTATACAAGAGAGTTCTAAGTATACTAGGAAACGTGTCCTCTATTCTAGGGAACTTACTAGGAAAGTAAATCCTAATTACAACAGTATTGATATTAATTGATATTATACAAACTGATTTCCTACACTCCCCCTCAAGTTGAAGAGTGGATATCAAGAACTCTCAACTTGCGAACAAGATTGTTGAATTCTTCTCGTCCCAATGCCTTAGTAAGAATATCGGCTAACTGAGAGGACGAACTCACATGTTGTGTGGCAATCAAACCTTCCTGAATCTTATCTCGAATAAAATGGCAATCCATCTCAATATGTCTTGTTCTCTCATGAAATACTGGATTGGCAGCAATATGTAAAGCTGCCTTGTTGTCACAATACAACAAAGCAGATTGGCGATGAAGAATGCGCAAATCCTTGAGGAGGGATCGAAGCCAAGATAACTCACAACATGCTGCTGCCATAGATCTATATTCAGCTTCTGCTGATGATAAAGATACAGTTTTCTGCCGCTTCGATTTCCATGAAATTAAAGAAGATCCCAGAAACACACAATAGCCTGTAGTGGACCTTCTAGTATTAGGACAACCTGCCCAATCAGAATCACAGAAGGCACGCAAAGTCAAGTCATTCTGAGAAGACAATAATATGCCTTGACCTGGCGATTTTTTTAAATAACGAAGAATACGAAGTGCAGCCTCCATGTGAGGTTTACGTGGGGCATGCATAAACCTACTTAAGACATGAACAGAGTAAGTAATATCTGGCCTTGTGATGGTCAAATAAATCAAGCGACCAACGAGTCTTCTATACTGAGCTGGATCTTTAAGTAATTCACCCTTATCTGAGAGCTTAAGACCTTTTTCCATAGGAAAATCAACAGGTGCGGCACCTAGGAGTTTTGCATCCTTCAAAATTTCCAATGCATACTTGCGTTGAGATAAGAAAATGCCCTGTTTTGATCTTGATACCTCAATCCCCAAAAAGTATTTCAAATCTCCAAGATCTTTAATACGAAAATGACGGTGCAAAAAAGCCTTGAGTGCCGAGATAGCTATAGGGTCATTGCCCGTGATAACAATGTCATCAACATAAATCAATAATGCTGTGAAAGAGTGCCCCTTATGGCGTGTAAATAATGAATAGTCAGCTTTAGATTGAATGTAACCAGTAGAACAAATGGCCTGAGAAAACTTAGCAAACCATTGACGAGAAGCTTGCTTTAAACCATAAAGAGATTTATGAAGGCGACATACCAAGTTCTCCCCCTGTCGCCGAAGACCAGGTGGAGGGAGCATGTAGATTTCCTCATGGAGATCACCATGAAGAAAAGCATTGTTGACATCAAGCTGATGAAGGGACCAATTACGGGCGGCAGCAAGAGCGAGAAGGCAGCGGATAGTGGGCATTTTGGCAGTAGGAGAAAAGGTATCATGATAATCAACACCTTCTAGCTGAGTAAAACCTTTAGCAACCAACCGGGCTTTGTAGCGCTCAACCGAGCCATCAGACTTAAGCTTGACTTTATACACCCACCGACAACCAATGGGCTTCTTTCCAGCAGGTAACGGAGTAAGACTCCAAGTGTGGTTATCAGACAAAGCCTGCAATTCAGACTGCATGGCCTCTTGCCAATGAGAGTGGGGAGCAGCGTCCTCATAAGAACTGGGTTCAACAATAGTACTGACTTTTGCAATGAAAGCAAAGTGAGCGGGGGAATAACGATGATATGAGAGAAAATTGCAGAGCGGAAAACGTGTACCTTTAGTAGGACCCGGCAGTAAAGAAGACGAGTGATCAGGGATGGGCAACATGTATTTGGAGGAACAAAACTCAAGAATATGTCTCTTTCGTGGAGTAAGAATAGGGCACATTTCATGGCAATTCTGATAATTATATGCAAATTGGATATGTAATATGGGGCATAAGAACAGTTCAAAATAGTATTAATGGCATCATAACATTTAAATTTGAAGCATGTGAGGAAAAAATGTACCGCAAGTTTTTTCTCTTCAATTTTATTGGGAAGTTGGTTCCATATACTGTCTGAAATAGGAATATCTGAAATGGCGACTTCTTGATCCAAATAGTTCCATTCTTCTTTCAAATAGCTACATAGCACATCAGTATCAAATCCACCAGTGACAACTAATTGAAAATAACATAGCAGGCAGAAAATATATGACAAAACTATATCTCAATGAGTCAGGAAGGACATCTTTTGTCTCACCTTTTAATATTTTGAAAAACTGATCTGGGAGAATGGACTCCTAAGGAATCTAAATGAAGTACAATTGGTCCAGATTCTTCTTCCTTGTCAGGGATACAAATAATCACTAGACTCCAATGTACACTGTCAAATACCATAATAAAGTCAAATGTTTGGTAATTTAAGTCAAAGAAGGTATGAGCTATGGGACACAGAAAGCATACCATGATAATTAAAAAGAGTTCCACGACAAAATTTTGATGTTGTGCATTTAATTAAAGAAAAAAAATACATGAGCTTTCTCTAACAACACAACACATATATAGTGCATATGTAGCAAATGTAATAGGTCCATATTACACATAGTGAATGCACATTTACAGTATAAATAAACAATTAACAGTCGCATACTAAAATGTCCAAATATCCAATATCTAACTCCTTTATTCTTCTAGAGGTATTGCTAATTGTCACCAGATCAGTTTATCATAGCATTTAAAATTGATGAATATTAATATATTTAACCACTCATTTATAGAAGTCATTTTTTTTTTTTCTCGAATGTTTTCTCTTTCTAACTTCATTTTGTGTTTGTTACCAATCACCCGACAAAAGTCACCCACATCAATCCAGCCTCACCAAAGTTAGACACAGTATATATCCGGCCTAATACAACACTGGTAGAAACTAAAATCATCTGTCCTCGGCAACGCAGTCAAGTCAACTAACCACGCCTGAGACCTAAATCTGATTACTCCTACCAAAATTAATACAATATTATTCATCTGCTTGCAAGATTATGGCTTGTACCACATTCTTGTGAGGATCATTCGGATAGTGGCAAATAGAAATACATCTAAAACAAGCTTCTTGTGTATAATTGCAAGTCTGGCCACGAAAGTAATAACCTACGATATGCTAAGTATATAAAGAAAATGCACGCTGGAATTTTAAAAAAAAAATCCAGACACAGTTTCCAGCATTTCATCTCTCATACTATATCAAGTAACAATTGAAGAAAAAGCAATTGAGCATATATAGATGTCAAATACTTTATTCTAGTATGAGCTTTCTAACAAGTTTTTTACATAGGCATCTGCCACTGTTTATCTACCCATGCACAATCTGACAACTACAAGCACATATTCTTAGGAGTAACAAGAGAGAGAGGGAGAGAGAGACTTACTCTTCATGAATCGGAATAAGTAAATATGCCTTCTGGAATATATTAACACCCTTCCACCACCTTCTAAACTTACCAAAAAGTTTATCCTTGTCGTTCCCCTACATAGTACAAGGAAAATGAGACAGAAAATAAGCAGGGGAAAAGTGGGCATGATGCAGACACTGCATCAAAAATGTTCAAATAAGTAATTTTAAAAAATAAAAAAAGAGAGAGAGAAAGAGAGAGAAGGTAAGCTCTTCTTTGAATAACTTTTAAATGTCACTGCCAAAAAGTGCATAACTCAAACGATGCCACATATGTTCCACTGTTTATGAAACTAGAAAGAGATAATATGGTAAGAATAGTTGTCTTACTCTCTTAAAACTTACAAAGTCTCAGCCATATAGGTGACCATTTTTTAATACATATAAAGGATTCTGAAGTTCTAACAACTACCCCAATTTTTAAAAAAGAAATATCAGCCATAGAAGATAGAACAAGATAAACAATTACCTTATATGCGACAGCCTCTTTGAGCTTCTCGTAAAAAAATGTATTAAAGAAATGGCAGTCAAATATTCCCCTGTCCTTTGAGGATGCTTGTTGCTGTAGATATATCCCACAAGTGAGTAAGTATTTAAACTTGACAAACACATCCAGAGAAATCATTATCAAGAGGAGAAAATTACTCCACACACTGCCTTCAGATATTGCAAATTATCAAACTAAAGGGGTTAGTCATTAGCTATTCAAGCCTGCAAAAAGAAGCATATAGGAATGTTACCTCGTGGCACAACTAGACATGTTCTCCCCACAGTGGCGAAGTGGATAAGGGGAAGAATCCATGCCTTTATGATCACCATTTGAAAGAGAACATTTATCTCTTTTATGACACAAATTGCTAAGGCATTGGCGACGTAAAAATCTTGATGAAGAACGATCTTTATGTCCCCTTTTGCAATAACTCTCCATATATTGCTTTTCATGTTCTGCCGGTTACCGAGATGTAAAGATGATTCTCCACGATATTCACTGGCTGTCCCAGATTCTGACTGCATAATAGATTAAGAATGAAGTGATTGTATTCCAACTTTAGAGGCCACTTAAAAAATTATAAAGCTAAATGGAGCTCATTACCTTTTCTTCCAGCTTTCGTTTAAAGCTAAATGGCGCTCATTACATTTTCGATCTCAGGGGAAGTATTTTCCAGATTTAGTTCCTCTACCTGTTGTTTCTAATCTACCTATTAGTAGCGCCCAACAAGATGTGTCTTTACATCAAGAAGTGTGAATATGATATTGGAAGAGAGTAATTTTCATTGATAGGTACAATTGGTTTTATACAAGAGAGTTCTAAGTATACTAGGAAACGTGTCCTCTATTCTAGGGAACTTACTAGGAAAGTAAATCCTAATTACAACAGTATTGATATTAATTGATATTATACAAACTGATTTCCTACAAAAACGGTCTCAAAACTAATAGGATCAAACTCCATATGCATTGGAAAGTCAGCCTCAGTAGTCCCAACCTGACCACAATGTTCCTGCAGATGATTGGAGAGTCTGGCAAAACAGTTTCTCCATCAGGAAGCTTTGGCACCTTTTTGGCTATTTTAAGATGAAAAACTCGGTCTGCTCCTCAGTTGAGCCTGATTCTGCCATGGTTGTGATCATATGAAGGAAAGTAAACATGCCATAATTCTGTTTCTTAAAAAAGAAAAATACAAAAGCAACACTACTTATTCTGAATGTGCTCAACGATACGTTCATTGATGATTGGTGGGTCTTTAATTCTTGACTTATCTTTAGTACTTGGTTCAATATCTATGCTCACATATTCAGGACAGTTAACAGTAAACTCAATTTGACCAGTGTTTGGAACGTATAAAGCTATGAGAGTTATGCGTGTCAGAGCACAACCCGAATTGTTGATTCGGCCAGAGAAATACAAAGTCTATAAATAAAAGCAAAATCGATGAAACAAGGGTCTAGCACCAATCAAACAAATCAAGTTGAACAGCTGCTCAAATGCACCTTTTAACCTTTTATCAAGTAGTTCCTAGTTTTTAATGCTTTTCTTTAGAAATTAGTGTAACACTCATTAAAAACAACTCAGAAACCTTTCTGAGTTATGGGCATTCCCCGTTTTAATCTTTAATTTCATATATTCAACAAGAATTTCCTTGTTTGCCACTTACAGAGTTAATTCTTGAGCACCACCCAATCCAACTAAATCCACTGAGCCACCGAGTCGAGTGCACTACCAAGCTACTGAGTTTTGTGATACTATCCGTCAATTAATTGTAATTAGAAATAATTATAAAAAAATAGTATATATATAATAAATAATAAAAAATGTTAACCTAATTATATCAGGCTTCTCCACCTCCCAACACCCACACCCTCCTCTGTACACACCCTCTGCATAAATCCTTCAACGTGAGTACTTGATTGCTTAAGTATTCTTATTGTTCCATAGTTCCATGCCATCCAACACTTATTGAGCTAGTGAGATCAAGTATGTCATGCCCTCACAAAAAGGACATTCAAAACAAGAGGTGGTCATGGTGTTGTGAGGCTGATTTTCATATATGATCACCAACACATGTTGAACGTTTTTTGTTTGTTTGTTTGTTTGTTTTTAAAATAAATTTGGTATTTTAACAATTATTTTTAGTTATTGTTAATTAATGAAAATACCCTTTCAGACCAAATAAAAAATAAAAAATGAAAATACCCTAAACGTAACGGAAATTTTAACGGAGTTATACGTAGGTAGTGGATTGCAACACGTTATAAAGTTTAGGTGGGTAAAAATAAAAATTAAAAGTTCAGGTGGTAATGATACACATGCTTAAAAGTTCATGTGGTATTTATGCAAAATTCCCAAAATATAATATCACCTAATTATGGTAATATCCTATTTTGGAGATAACATCATCAATTAAGTGATTTGATCCCAATCAAATCCCTAATTGATTCAATCTCTACAATTTGGGGAAAGAATCCCTAAACCCTAAAGAATATCTTTCTTCCCTATAAATACATGGCTACATTCAACACACAAGGTAATCCTAAACCTAGCAAAAACACTCTAGAAACTCCACTCTCTCTCTCTCTCTCTCTCTCTCTCTCTCTCTCTCCTAGTTGATGGCATCCCTAGCCGCCGGCTGCTCCACTCTCATCTCCAGCCACCTGGTTCTCTCAGTAGAGAAAACTCTGTACCCTTTTTTAGCTATTGTTTTCTCCTAGATATAATCAAACTAACTTAGGCATTGGAGGGCCTTTGGCCAACACTCCACGGGTGTGGTCTTTTACTCATATTTGATTTTACAAGAATCAAGGAAGAGAGAGAAAGAAGTTCAAAATGCGAAGGATCTTCAAGCGAATATTCTCCCATAAGATATTTGTACCAACAGTTTTCACTTCCACTAAACTACCTAAATACTTAGTTCACCCGTATCCTACATCACTCAAACTCAGTATAAATATCCAATTTCGTCTTTACCGTTATTTCCATCCAATTTTCTAACCTCACATGCTTGGTTATTAGATAAATATAAATAATAAAAAATTGTAGAACTTGCATTGGTCATTGAGCGTTATCCATGTAAATCAACCATCACTCTTTGTTTTATTTTTTTTATACACGTGTGACTTCTGAAAATTGTTAACAATAAGCACAAGTTTGATCAAAATAACACACCATTTGTAAGCATTCCATTGTAAATAGCCCTCCAAAACAATATACAGAGTAAAACAAAGAATGAGCTTCTCAAACTCACACTACTCCAAAGAATCAAAGAATAAGTTGTGTTGGCGTGACTTGTGAATATTGACTTACTTTCCTTACACACCAAGAATTCCTATTATAATTGTAATTGATTTACTTTAATTCCTGATTTTTTGTACTGTAAATAGATTTAGGAATTTATTATTTACTTGCCAATTCAGGTTTTGTTGTATTATAAATATGACCTCCTGCAAGGAGAAGAATACACAGAAAATTCCCACAAACAAATATTCTCTCATAATTTTCATATTTTAGCATGGTATCAGAGCGACGATCTTAGAATTGCTTACTATAGTTTCAAACCCTCGTTGTTGCTATGGGGGTTGATGATTTTTTCAACCCTCATGGAGGTAGCACCACGGAGTCCTTCTCTCATTCTCAACCAACCATAGCTGAGTTGAGTGCCCAGATGGCTCAGCTCCTACAGATGCAGACTTTGGCCCCGAATATGATCCTAAATTAGGATCCTATTTTGATGACCCCGAACCTGATCCGGAATCAGGATCCTATTTTGATGACCTCGAACCCGACCCCGACTATGATGACGACGACCCTGACCTCGACTCCGAAGACGACCCCGACCTCGACTCCGAAGACGACCCCGACCCCCACTGCGATGATGACCCCGACCCCGAATTTGTCTATGATTCAAATCCCGACCTCGATTTCGACTCCGACTCCGACTCCGGCCCCAACTCAGGCTCAGATCCCGATCCGAATTCCTACTCAACCTGTATCCTATGCATCTTCCGCTGCACAGATTATGACTTCTCGACTAACGACCCTGACACATGAACCGGATTGCGCATATTGTGGTGATCCGAGACACACTCGTGAGACTTGTTTTAAATTGCATGGCTACCCCGATTGGTGGGCTACTCTTAAAGATCGAAGACAATGCAATACGACCAGTAATGGAACTGGTTATGGATTCCATACTTCCGATAAGATTGATTCCAGGAGCTGGATAATTGATTCCGGTGCAACTGATCATATGACGTTTGATCCTGATGATTTTCTAAATACTACACAACCTCGACGAACCTGTATTGCAAATGTCAATGACGTTACTTATCCTATGACAGGGGATGGCACTGTTGCACTCTCATCCTTTCTCACACTGTCTAATACTTTACTTGTTCCATCTTTATCCACTAAATTGTTATCAGTTAGTCAGCTTACTGAACAATTGAATTGTTGTGTACTCATTTACCCAAGTTTTTGTTTGCTTCAGGATATTCAAACTAAGGAGATTCTTGGTCGTGGTACTAAGAGAGGGGGCTATATTATGTTGATGACTTCAGTCCCGGTGTGGCTACCAGTGTGATGCATTCCTTTGATAGAAAACAAAAGCAAATATGGTTGTGGCACAATCGATTAGGACATCTGTCTTTTAGTTATATGAAACATCTTATACCAGATTTATTCTCAGGTTTCAAGGACTCTGACTTCACATGTGATACTTGTATTTTGGCCAAGAGTCACCGTGTGCCCTACCCGTTGAGTACGAACAAGTGTACTACTCCATTTACGTTAATTCACTCTGATGTCTGGGGACCTTCACCTATCACTGCTCCCTCTGGTGTTCGATGGTTTGTCACATTCATAGATGATTGTACACGGATGACATGGCTTTATTTGCTGAAGAATAAAAACGAAGTGTTTTCCCGTTTTCAATCATTCCACAAACAGATGAAAACTCAGTTTAATGCTCAAATCCAGATTCTTCGCTCCGACAATGGTGGAGAATTTGTCAATCATGACTTTCAGACTTACTTCCAACAACATGGAATTATCCATGAGACGACTTG